AAACCTCCACCCCCATCCCCACAGCTCCCTCTGCCTCCCAAGATTCTAATGTCCTCTAAATCTGACATATGCCAGTTGTTTTCCCTGGAGGGGACAGAGGTGAGGGAGCCTCCAGTGAGCCAGCCCAGGATCTGCCTAGTGATCAAGCCCCACCCAGCTAAATGGTTCACCTTTACTCTGGGGACCACCTGTGTGGGGGAGTTCTCTGCAACTGTCCAACCAACTCTGCCCTAAATACCCAGAGTATGTAAGCAACTGGGACTTTGGGATCTAATCTAGTATCTTGACTTTACAGACAGGGAGAGTGATACTTAGATATGAGGTGTCTTGAGGAAGAACTCCACCCTACCCCAATGTGCAGTGTTGGTTTCTCTGTCATAACAGATTAGGATAAATAAATCTTAACTGATAATATGTGAACTCTGTGTGTGTGTGTGTCTGTGTCTGTGTGCATGCATGTACATGTGTGTGCATGTGCAACATAGAATGTCTTCCTGGATTGCTCTCTATTTATTGGCCTTTTTTTGGGTCTCTTTGTTTTTTATTGAGACAGGGTCTCCCTGAAGCCCCAGCTGGCCTGGAATTCACTATGTAGACCAGGCTGGCCTTGAACTCACAGAGATCCCCCTGCCTTTGCCTCCCGAGTATTGGGACTAAAGGCATGCACCACCATGCCCAGCATCATTGGTCTTTTTGATACAGGGTCTCCCTGTAGCCCCAGCTGGTCTGGAACTCACTATATAGGCCAGGCTAGCCTCAATCGTACAGAGCTCTGCCTGCACCAAGTGCAGGGATCAAAGGCATGTGTCACCATGTCTAGCTCCACCTTATTTTTTGAGACAGGGTTTCTCACTGAACTAAAGCTCAGCATTTCAGCTAGGCTGGTTGGCTAGAGAGCTCCAGGGCTCCTCCCCTCTCTGCCTCCTCAGAATTGGGATTACTAGTACATTAGGTACTTAGCTTTTTATGTGGATGCTGGGGATCCAAACTTGGGTCCTCGGGTTTGCATGTCAAACACTATTGACGGAGGCATCTCCCTAACCATGATATATGGATTCTTAATGGTTGAGTGGGCAAGAAAATGGCCTGTTTCACTAGTCATGTAACTTATGAACTCGAAAGACTCTGGTCTTGAGTCTACACTGCCATTGAGCTAATAGGTCCTCTGGTGAACACTGCAGCACAATGTGATTTAAGGGCATCAGATGGACTTCTTCCAGAGTATTTCCTGCCTCTCTCATGCAGATTCATTTTCTTGAGATTAGGAAGCTCTCCTGCTCTGCACCTTATAAGCAAGTGACTTAATAAGTAACTCATAAGCAAGTTATTAGCGACAGCATATGATGGCCAGGAGAGGGAAAAGAGAAGGGTTTTCAAGAACTGGGAGATGAAAGACATTTGCAGACATCCAGTCTTACTAGAGCTGGTTTGCTCTCAGACACGTGGCCATCAGATAGCACGGTTCCTTCTGATCTCGAACTCACAGAGATGCATCTGCCTCTGCATACTGGGATTAAAAGTGTGCACCACCACACCTGGCCTTTCTATAACTTCCTGATAGAAGTGGAGTAGAAATACAAATTCAGAGAGAAAAAAAGGATATTGTAAATTTATGACAGTTGAAGAACTTGTTTGTCGAGACCAGCCTGGTCTACATAGTGAGTTCCAGGCCAGCTGGGGCTACAAGGAGACTCTGTCTCAAAAAGGACAAAAAAAGAAAAGAACCCTTAAAGCTATTATTGCCTGAGGGTTGTGGTTCCTGATCGTCCTCTCCTTATCCTCTGCCTCTTGCCCTTGAGAACTGCTGCTCCCCTAGGTCCTTGTCCATGGCAAGGTATATCTGCATCTCAGTCTGTCTGATAAGACCTTGAAGTGCAGTTCTGGCCTCAGCCCTCCTTCCCCAGTACTCAGGTTGGTCTGATTGAGGATGTGGTGAGAGTGGAAAGTCATTCCTCCTTGGCCTTAAGCCATCTCCAAGCTCAATCCTGCTGATGTAGCTCCTTGGCAGCAGCTGGTGCTGGGGAGATCTGAGTTAGCCTGGTGACTAAGCCTGAGTCTCCCATCTATGGGAACAGAAGCTATTCTCCCCAGAGGGGCAGCAGTAATGGCAGTCAACCATCCTCCCAGCCTCTGAGACAGGAGACAGGAGAACCAGCCACCAGCATTTGGGAGGTGGAGGCAGGAGGGACCAGGAATTCAAGGCCAGCCTCCTTTGCTCCATAGCTAGCTTGAGCCAGCTTTAGTGACATAAGACCCTATCTCAAAACAAATGGTGATAGAATAACATGCTTACATTGCCAGGGCCTTGAGTTCCTGCTCAGACTTCCAGGGGATCCCCCTCAGCTCAAGGCCAGCTGTGTCTGATAGCAGAACAATAAGATTCTCCTAATCTTTCTGGGTGGGAGTCCTGAGTAAAAGCCAAACACAATCTTTCTAGCCCCCTTCCCTTCCACTCACACCCTTTGTGCAAACATAGGATCCCCCAGAGCAGTTTCACAATCTTGTTCTGGGACCTGGTGAAGGGTAGGGATGGTTCTGGCAGCTCCTCATCTCTGGGGGGTGGGGCTGGGGTAGCTTCCTAAGGAACTTTGTTTTGCCAGAAGCTGAGGCTTATTGCTGAGTCTGAACTCATTTAGATTTGCCCCCCAACACTCCCCCATCACTGACAGGATGGGGGTGATTATGCATTGATCCGGAAGAGTGCCCAAGTGTGCGTCAGTGCTGGGGACTGCTTGAAGAGCTGCTGGCCTGGTTCTGCCAGGGACCTGTGCTACCTGGCTTCTCTGACATATCTGATTTATCTCTGTCAGTCCTCTGGAATAGAGTCCTGCAGCCTAGGGACAGTACCTGGCTGAGAAGGATATGGCCCGAAAAATTTTCCTGTTCTGGAAGATCTTTCCTCCCTACTTAAAACCTCCAAGTACATTTTTTCCTCTTCAGGTCACCTCTGGGATTGAGGCAGTACATTTAGGGAAAG